ATTTGCCACTGTGTTTCTTCTTTTGCCAAACGTCTACTCATGTCTTTTGTCCATTTTCTATTTGATTATCTGTGGAGGGGATATTTTTGTTTACTTTACTTGTTGAAGATTTTTATGTATTGTGGATACTGATCCCTTTTTTGGTTTTTGTGTTACGTGTTGTTTCTTCTAGCTAGGGCTTGCCTTTTAATTCTTTGCAAGCTGACATCTAAAGGGCAGGATTTTTCTTTTTCTTGCAGACATATTAATGTCTTTGCCTTTATAAGTAGCACTTTTTTATTTCCTACCCAGGTGTTATAAACATTAATTTCATAATGGCAGACATATTCCTGTATATCTCCCTGTACGAATCTTAAGATTTTTGCCTTTTACATCTGTATTTATTTGTAACTTATTTTTGTGTACAGTGAAATGTAGAAGTCCAAGCTGGACGGATCGCTAGCCCAGTTGTTTGGAGTCCTCACTCTTTCACCAGCTTATCTGTGTTGCTAGCTCCGCATTACACTGTTCAGGTACATTCAGGGCTAATTTGATCCCTTGGCTTATTTATCAATCTCTATGCCCTTATCACATCATCTTAGTTATATGGCTAATATGGCCTTGTTCTTTAAATGTGATTTGATAGTTTTTAACCTTCTATATTAAGAATAAGCTTGTTAAATTTGATTTTAAAAACCCCATTAGGATCTTGTTTGGAATTACATGATCTTAATAGATAAATTATTGAGAACCATGTTAAGAATCAGGAAAGGTCTGAGATATTTTGTAACCTTCATTGATGTTGGTGGAAGACACAAGACTCCTAATCAGAGAAAAAAGACCTTATTACTCACAGGCAGTCACCAGGGTGTCAGCATTCTCCTATGCAGACTCTGAAGATCCAAGTCCTATGAAACGTATGAAAAAGGTGGGTACCCACATGCGGGCTTGTGAAACAGAAGAGGAACACTGAATGTTTGGAAATGTGAATATTTTACACGTCTGTAAGTACACTTGCCCCTTGTTCCAGAGGGAAACACTATTTTGGAAGGTTATTAACCACAGACATCCTTAAAAATACAATCTAGAGCAAAGGTAGTGAATACTTCTGCTTCCAAATGTACAGAAATACAACAGGTCAAGGGAGATTTATCTCCCCCATGTACTACCTAAGTCTTCCTGTCTATGAACATAGTAACTTTACATATTTTTTGGTGTTATGATATAGTTTTATAATTTATGCATGAGTCATACTGCTTTGTATATTTGTTGCTTTTGCAAAAGACAGTTTTTGAAATTACATTTTTCTACTTCACCTTGGGATACAGAAATGTGAACGAGTATTGTATTTTGATAATATATCTAACCATCTTTCAAACGCTCTCGTTAATTTTCATGTGTAGATTTTGCAGGGGTTGTCTCAGTAGATATTCCTGACAGCTACATGTAATTCAGTTTCTTTCCTTTTGGAAGAATCCTATGCTGGCCCAGCTCTCCAATTACCAAGTTAAATAGAAGTAGTAGTAATGGTAAACATTCTTCTCTGGGATCCAGAGGAAAATCTCCTATATTTCAGTGTGGAGTGATGTTTATTCTAGGTTTTCGATAAAGACACCCATGCCAGGTTAAAGATATTCCTTTCTTCTCTTAGTTGCTGAAGATTCTTTCTCAGGAATGAATATGAATTTTCTTGCAGGCTTTTCTCTATTGAGAAATCATACATATCATTTTTTCACTTTATTCTGTTAGTGTGTTCTGCTCTATAGTTTGAATTCTTTTGTCCTTCCTAAAACTCATGCTGCAAATTATCCCCACTACCAGGATATTAGAAGGTGATTAGGTGAAGAGGCATCTTCCCTCATAGCTCGGATGAGCACTCATAAAAGGATTGGTGGGAACTCTAGGCCTTTGTTTCCTATTCATGTTCTGCTGTGTTAGATCATAAAGACCAGGTGCCATCTGGATGAAAAGAAAAGTCTTCACTAGACACCAAGCCTGCTAGGCCCTTCATCTTGGATTTCCAAAAATCTAGAACTGTGAAAGAAATGAAATTTCCACTGCTCATTAATCTGCGATGTTTCATTATAGTAGCAAGACTAGACTAAGATATACTAAGCCTAACTAGGACATTTTGTTGGCTAATACTTTGTTTAGGACTTTTGCATTTTGTCCATGAGTGAGATTGGCTTTTGGATTTCATTGATACTATTATTGTGTGGTTTTGATATTAAAGTTAGGCTTGCCTCATAGAATTTGGACCAATTCCAGTGAAGCTTTTCCCTGTACCACACAATTAAAATTGCTCTTATCAAAAATGTCAAGTGCCCATGTTGCTAAATTCAATGGTCAATTCTTAACGCTTATCTTACTTAACAGTAGCATATGGCTTTTTGATTACTCTTACCTCCTTGAAAGATTTCCTTCACTTGATTTTAGAACAGCACACACTCCTGGCTTTCCTCAGACTTCTCAGAGTACTCCTTTTTGGATGCCTCTGACTTCCTAATTTTGGAGCGCCCAAATGCACTCTACTTACACCTCTTCTCCTTGTACTCAAGCTAACTGATGGTGATCAGCATGATGATTTTAGAAAGGTTCAAGGCTTGAATGCTATCAATATATCATCTCTCTCTCCTCTGAACGTAACTCCTATACCCAAACACAAACTCAAAATACCACATGGATGCCTAGTAGACATCTCAAAATTAACCCACCCCAAACTGGACTTCTGATACCCTCTTCCAAATCCTTTCTTTCTCTTCTTTACAAACAAATGCAAAGTCTATCATCTCTTTAAATACCGTCTTTCCCCTACTGTATTTTTCCTTCCACAAGGATAGATGTTTGAAAGCCTCGTGCTATACCTGTCTCAACTTCTGTTATCCACACAGAAATTATCTATTTAGAAAAGAAAAAGACTTCTTGCTCTTTTCAACTCTTTTACTTCACTCAGGCTTCCTCTGTTATTCTTCTGGCATCTCCTTTGGTACACAAGCTTTCCATTTTAATTTCGTTTACTGTATTTTTCATTTCTAAAAATTCTATTTAGTTCTTTAAAATGTATCTGTTCATTTTTTGGTAGTTTCTTTTCCTTATACATAATAACTTTTTTATATCAAGCATTTCCTTTGTGTGATGTATCTGAAAACTAATATTAAAGCCTTTGAAGATGTGGGTATATTGAGTTAGTTTCTGCTGATTTACACAGTACTAATGCTGGATTATTTTTGGGTGTTTTCTTTCATTTTAGATTGTGAATTTATGTTTGCTGCTGCTGTTTGCGGACTTTCCTTCGAAGCTGGATTACACCTACTTTTCCCTAGGGATGACTTTTGTCTGCTTTTGTTGGGCATTAAGCACTATTGACATGAATCCTCTTAAAAATACAACTTTTAGAAACACTATGCAAATAGTGTAGATTAACTTACTATACCCATGTATATATATATACTCAGAGGCTATTAATTTGCAAGACAGCCTTGTGAAAAAATCCATCAATAGTTAAGGCTGAGAATGGTGATTTTCTTTAATATCTGCCCCTCAATTTTTGTTTTACTTTAGTTCAGTGTTTTATAAAAGGTACAGCCTTGCAGGGATCCAGGTTTTACATGATGTGGACTCCAATGTGACTCCCAGTTAGTTACTGGCCTAGAGTTTCCTATATACTCTAGGTTATGGTATCACTATAGTCTACCATATTCTGGGTGTTTCCACAGATTTCTCTCTAGAGATATAAAAGTTTAGCCTATGTACCAAATTCACCCGGAAGACCTGCTAAGACAGGGACTGGTGGGCCTTACACTTTGACTTTATGATTCAGTAGTCTTGGGTGAGACCTAGGAATTTGTATTTCTAACAAGTACCCAGGTGATGCTGATGTGACTGTTTACAGAGCTCATACTTTGCAAACAACTCCTTCAGTGGTGGTTTGGCAAATTTACTCCACAAAGGGCCAGCTGGTAAACATTCTTTGCTGGCAACCACTCTCCTGGGCTCTTGGAGAATGAAAGTGGTCAGAGAGACTATATAAACAAATGAGCATGCTTGCGTACCAGTAAAACTTTACCAAAACAGGCACTGGGGCTGGGGACGTAGCCCAGTGGCACAGCGCCTGCCTGGCAAGGGGAGGACCTGAGTTTGATTCCGGGCACCAGCAACAAGGCACTGGCTGTGTTTGGTCCGGGCCCACACTTTGCTGACCTTCTTTGTGGACTGCTGCTCCCACTGTTCCTGGTCACGGAGGTTTCTCACCGTCACATCCAATTGTTTAACATGGATGAAACATATTTTATTGCACATTTTCAGATATGAATAGCAGAGAAATCTTCCAGGATTTGCTTTCCATATTACCAGAAATAGAAGCTCTGCATCTGAGTTCCAACTTGCTGAAAGAATTTATGGAAAGAGTTTTCTGGCATATCTGATCCTTTCTACAAGTCTATGAGAAGTTGACTCACCTCTGTTCTCCCTAGGCACCTAGGGTCTTTCTGACCCACTTCCCACCTGAACCTGCCTTGCTGTCTCATGCCATTTTTCACATTTCCCTCCAACCTCCCAGCAGAAGTTTGGTGAGGTTCTGCTCCTTCGCCCTGCATTGAAAGTTCCGCCTCGGTGTACTGCCCACTATTATACACATTATTACATGGCCCGTGCTCCATTCAGTGCTGGTTTCCCAGAGTGTCTCCCCGACAGGCCACGAGCAACTGGAGGCCGGGAATGAGTTTCATTTATCTTCAACTCCACAGCGCCTGACACACGTTTGCTATGTGATCAATGTTTTATTTATTTATTTATTTGCTTTTGAAATGTTGAGTAGATGGCTAAGCAACTGAGGGACTACGTAGGGAATGGGATTTTAAACAATCCACTTGTTGAAATCCTTGAGATTATAATCTTATCTCAGCAATCACTGTCCAAATTAGAACCTCCTAAATCTAATCTTGCTCATTAGTCTGTGTTAGTCAAGGCTATATAAGTTTGTAGTAAAAGGCACAAGGACACAGACTACTGAATACATCATCTCAGCCAGTAACAGAGAGGCCATTTATTGTTTCTAAAATAAAACAAAAGATACAGTGTTTTGTTTCTCTTTTATTGCAACCCATTGCAAGGTCAAAAGATTCACGGAAATATAGAAACTACAAACTGGGTGATTTTCTTTATCCACTCAAAAAGACATTAAAGACAAAGGACCAGAGTTTCCACTACAGCAATGTATTTCATAGGTTTTATTCTGAAAATACTGTTGACATTTTGGAGAGGATAAAAAGCCCTGCATTAAACCTGTTCACATGTATTTATGACACTCTAAGCAAACAAACAGAAAACAAAAAAAGAAAAAGAAACTATACTGCCTAGAAAAATTATTTCAAGCCTCATTGTAAAGCATCTAATGAGAACACATTCAACAACCATCACAGAATCACTCAGGGTGATGCTTTTCCTGGCTGTTTTTTGAGATTAATGCTTTGAGGCTAGATACGATATTTCTACAGATTTCTACAAATGTACCACAGCAGTTTTCCAGGTAATGTTGCATCAAGCTTTCTGGATTAGCTGACATTTTAGAGAGTAAGTGCAGGCCCCACCCCACCCCACCCCCAAGCTAAAGCATGTTTTAGTGCTGTACTTTAAAACAATGAGACATTTAAAAAATCAGTTATACACTCTGAAACCATTTGACAACCAAACTGTAACACTCCAAAGATTATTACAACTTTAAACTGAAATTAAACCATCTATACCACAGATTGTTCTCCCTTTTGTCCCTTTTAAAATTATTTAAAATATAGTGTGACATATATAAAATTAAACATTTTTCATTCACTGAAGCTACTATTACTATACATACTGTCTTATAAATTAGTTTTGGGTTAAAATTCAGTTTAAATGTTGTGAAATAAGGTTTTTCAGTGGTGGAGAAAGGGATATGAAAATGACTGTGAGAAGTTCACTGTGTAAGAAGAAATATAGTTTATTAATGGCAAATAGCCTTTTCTTACACAAATTTTGCTTCCTTCAGATTAAATTAGTAATTTATGGGAAAGTACTCAATGTTTACCGACTACATTTTCTGAACTGATTGGAATTAAAACAAAAATTGCCACATCAGAAATATGTTGACATAATCAAAAGAAAGCGCTGTTGACCAAATAGAAGTCAGTATAAATACATGAATGATGTTTATATGTAAGGCTATCTTTTGTGTCTTACAGCTAGTATCACTTTAACAGTATTTGGATTTACAAGGAATGAACTCACACCTCAGTTATATCTGTTAAAGACAAAATAACAGTTATGTCCACATCAGGGAGCAATAAATAGCAAATTCACAAATGAGGGTTTTATTTTTACTTCTACTACGAAAGATAATCACTCTTTAGCTTAAAAAGGCTCCCTGCAGTCTTGATTATAAATCTAGACACAGGAAAGTTTATTGGAGCCTCAGTCCCTACAATGAATTAATTGTAAAGATGTGTGAAATCAAATGTATGAAAGCTGGCAATCTTCAATTTAACAAAAATACTTCTGGCAAGTGTAAACAGAATCTAATGAACAGATTTTCAAATTTTTCTTTTTAACTCATACAGCAGCTAGCAATAGATCTTTGCAGTAGCATAAGAACTATTAAAACAAAAAAAAACATAACATGCATATATCCGAAAACGTGTTCTAAAATCCAAAGCAAAGCAAAAGAAAAAACTTCAATAGAAAGATTGTCTACTCATATTTCACTCATGAACTTTCTACTAATGTGACTACCCCAAATCTCAGAAATATACTTTCACCATTATCAAAATTAACAAAGTAATGAAATGATCTGTAGATTTTTTAAAATACTACACACCATTAATAATCACATTGGTGGCTTCATTGTGGATAATGCTAAGATTAGCTCCAAATATCACTAAGATATATCCCAATCACTTACTATCCACAAAATAAAAGCTAACACAATGTTAATGTATAACTAACTAAAATATTTAGTACTCAACAGAATATATGTGCTGAATAATGAATAATTAACTTTTGTGAGCTGGCCAAGGGAGTTCAGATTGTTTCATATATATAAAAAATTTACAAAAGGCTTTGTTCTTTCTAGTCCCTAAGTCACCAACCAGATAGAAGGTTGCCCACCTGTGGACACGGAGTTAGTGGAGCTGCAGCAGAAGACATGCTCCCTCAGGAGCGTGGAGGAAGTCCCCTCTGTCAAGAAGTGGCTTACAAAAAAACGACCCAGGGTGTTTGTGCACCCACAGGTGTGGATACACAAGAGTGTAAATAACTATATGTGTACATGTGCTTGGAACTTGAACACTACTAATTTACAAGCTTTCAATTAATACACCATTACTTCTGGTCTGACCTGTAGAAATACACAATTCTAATTCATCGAAAAAGAAAGACTTTGTTTTTGGGCATTTAAAAAATGGCAGAAATCAGAAGTCAAAATAATAAGCCAAGTCTTTGACCTTCTATTAACATGTTGTTTAAAGGAATAAGCCTTCCAATTTAAAAAGTAAAAGTTTTGTGGCTTTGGTAATCTTCAATTTCTAAGAAAAAAAAGCCAGCTCACCTGGGAACAAATAACAAGTGCACTTCTGCTATGCAATAGGCAAATAAGACACAAATATACACACTCTGGTACAGATGCAGACAGGTGATGGTTAAAACCTTTCCAAGAGATCACCCATTCCAAATCTATACTTCTCTGCTTGTCTGAACGATCCAAGTGTGCCCACGTGTGGGCACGCGCATTAGGAGGAGGCAGCAGACATGCTGGGGGTCCAGCCCATCTGATAAGCTCTCTCCAAGGTCCTCTTGCAGTCCTGCAGGACAGTGCTGAAGGTGATGTGAGGGTACTGCCGCACCAGCTGCTCCACTGTCGCTTCGTTGACCTGCAACCAGAGAAGAACCACCGTCATGCACAGGCAACCACCAGCACCACACAGCTGCCCAGGCTGCCCAGCGTGCCGTGCCTGCTTCCGCCGACACCTGCAGCCCAACGCATTTCTGCTAGCAACGAAGGGTTTTATAAGAAGACAAGTTTCCTTTTTGTCTGATATCTCTGACTTCTCAGTATCACACTTGCCCATATGGATTTTTTTTAAAAGCCATGATGCCTAGAAATCAAATGTGTTTTTTAGAAACATAAATGGCTGTGATTTGTCAAGGTATTAACAATGTCCACTGAACTTCTAGTACTTGAGATGTGAGGAAACAGAACACATTCCAATATGCATTTTAATTCTTCATTAACATAACTGTCTTCTTAGGAGAAATACTGTACTGTACAATGGGGGAAAAAGATACACAAGATCCTAGATAGAAGTGCTAGGAAAATGTTTATTTTTCTTCAGTTTAAACGTTAAGGCACTGCAAACTTCAAGTTCCTTTGTGAAAAGGGCTGAAATGGGAGGAATCAATAATTAAAACATACATGGCTGGCAGGTCAGGGATGGCCCCAATAGACCTTAACCATCAAAGACACCACCTTGATTCTTGATTAGACAAGGCAATCAGACAGGCCTAATTAAAACTAACACCTTTACAATTGCTGTGCTGTGAAGGGATTAATTTGTCAATTATTTTTAAGCTGATTGCAGTTCATATCACAGAAGTAGACAGCTTCCTTCATCCTTTAGATAAATAAATGATTAACCTAAGAACCACAACTTTTAGGTAGGTTTATTTAAAATCTTTATTGAACACTTGGGCATTTTCAAATACATCAATATTTCATTTATACTGAGTAAGCTATACTGAGAAAGTGTTAAGGAAGACACTTGGAATGCACATTTTCAAGCACCCCTTCTGATGTTCATTATTGAAAAAAAATTGGGACCACCAGGAAAAACCTAAAACAACACGAAGCCCTTGCTGTTTGCTTTGAAAGCCTGCTCAGCAGTGTGATGATCATGAAGGTTTAGTTGTCTGCATGTTTCTGAAACAACATGGGGCCTTCTGGGTGAGCTGGAAAAATGTGGTCCAAATTAATTTTTCTTAGTATTGATAACATTATCCTGATGATACTTAATCTTTATACGACATTTTGCTTTTCAAAATTTGCTTGTTTGAATCCTGCTTTCACTTACATGAGATTTTATTTCTTCAACTGTAAAAACAGAATAAAAGTATTTATGTCACAGGACTGCTGTAAGGATCAAACGTAATAATATGTCTAGCACTGTGAATGACAAAGAAGCTCCCTAAATGGTACCTCTTATCGTTGCAGCAATCAAAGTGGGTACGAATGTGAGAGTTAATTAATGATGTATCAGGGCAATTTATGCTGTATAGTGCTGATCGATATTGTTCTACATCTGAGATATCTCAGAAATAAACCTTGATAACATTGGTTGTAATGTCTGAAACAAAATAATCACAGGGTAAGAAGTAATCTGTAGAACATGTTTCATGTACAAGAATAATGTATTCTATTTTAATGCTCTCTAGAAGAGATGCTGGGATTTTCTTAATAGCACAGTCCAGATTTAAAATATTCAGTGGCAGGAAATTCTCCTTTTCCTTTCAGTGATGTTCCTCACACTGCTGTGAGGTCACCTCTCTCCCTCCTGCAACAAACGCTTCCAGAAAAATGCACCTTTCACCAGAGGAGAGCAAGTCATTAGGTCAGAGAACCTTTGGAACGTCTGAGGGAATGCAAAGAAAATATGTGCAGTCTAAGTCACCTCACATTCAAGGTTCTGCAAACTAAAAGAGAAAAAGAATGGTGAAGAGTAAGCATCTACAGTCACCATCAAGAGATGAGCTATTTTCCATGGTATCTCCTTCCCAATCTACACATAGGTCTATACACAGTTTTGTACTTAGGGTTGACAGGCAATTTGTTTTGGAGAAGCAATTTTTCAAAAATAGAAAATATCTCTATGTGCTAACTGCTTTCCAAAAGGAGCATATAAGTTCACCTCAAGCAAACTTGATACATGAAGATATAAACTTATGAGGTCTATGTATCAGAGGATAATTTTTCACTTTCGTAAACATTTTCATGGTACAGAGTTAATGTATTCTGTCAGCTCCTCTAATGTATTTTATATAACCTTTGATTTATGAAAATGCAATTTGTCTTTACCTGTTGCATAAAGTAACGTACCCTTGTGGTTGAGAATAGAGATGGCACTATGTTAATTCCCTGGATTTCAGAAGTTATGAGTAAGAACAGAAAACAAGTCGGTTTTGTACAGCTATATGAAAAATGGCACCAGTAATCCTCTGTGAATAAAATGTGTCTTGTAAGCAACATTTCTGTGAGCTATGTTCTGTAAATTCTAGAAAACAAAGCAGTGCAGAAAATACATATATTCTCTTTTAGAGCTTTTAGGTAGAAGTTATTCAGCAAAAATACACACACACACTAGAGAAGGTTCTTTTACTTATAATCTCTCCTGGTAATATAGCATGATGAATTTAATATAAAAATTATGTTTATTTACTCCTCAGAAGTAAAGTTATGCTCACTTCCTCTTTGTAGAGACTCTTTTAAGTGCTTTGGTGCTGTGGAGTTCAGCATAAGACACCATCAGAGTCCAGATCATTTAGAATTGTTATGCCTACACACACATTTCTATGGACATTTTGTAATGTTCAACTTCAATTGCTAGAATAAAAAGAACTATTCTCTGTTCCAGCTCATAAAATACATGCAATATAAAAGTGAAACATAAAGATTTAAAAAAAATTCCCACAATCCCTGGATTTTGTATTTAGTTTGTTGCTGAAACCTATCAACGGCAATGATATTGCACATGAAATTTGAAAGCTGCAGTGCATCTTCCTAAGGAAATACACAGCAGTGTCATTTGAAGAAATTATTGTGATTAAAAGAGAAAAAAGCATGTGTCATAGGTTTTTCAAAAATATAAGAAAGACTGGGTTTTATAGTTCCCTTCAAAGACTGTACAACCATAATTTACATTTTCAAAATTATTATAACTCTTTTTAAGGTAGTAGCAATTTCTCTGGTATTTTAATCTATTTTGAGTTAACATCTATTAGCACTTTTTGAAAATGTGAGGCAAATTGCTGTGTTAATTAAGGTAAATCACACCACAGTTTCATTATATTGCCGCTGCTGCTGCTTGCTGCTGCAGTGCAAGGGTAAAGAGAGTGACAAGATTTCAGAAATACAGCTTAACCAACTTATCTAGTGCATCACAGTTTTCTCACTTCCTTATAAATACTTTCTCCGAAAGTTCATGATAAATGTAAATCTAGGCCTGAATCACCATACCAATGAGAACTGCTTTCAAAAAATATGATTTATGATAAAACTTATGGAAGAAAGTATTTACAGCAAGAGATTCTTATTTCTTAATTCTCATTATAAAATGGGACATTTCTTGTTAGGAAGAAATAAGAAATGTAACTTCTGAATGTATTATGCCACACTTAAGAATAAACCACTCAAAGTCATTTATTCTTTAATGGGAGAAAGTTTTCCAACAAGAAATGAACATTCAGTTTGGCTCCTCCCTTCTTCCACTGACCCAGGACCAAGTGGGTGGTGAGAGAAGTCTGAGATCTGCCCCTCCCTCCCTCCACTGGTGGGACTCAAACTACGGGACACCAGTGAAGCAGTAGGACCCTGGCTAAGGTGCACATGATTGAAAGGCGGAACTACAGGCGTGGAAATATCCCATGAACATTAGCAATATGAACCAACTGGAGATCTCTAACCTTTTGTTTTGGTTTGTTTTATTGTACTTGTCCTCTTCCTCTCTTTAGTCAACTATCTCGCCTGACTTTATGATACTCTCATGTGAGTAAACATTGTTTCTTCTCTTTTTGGTTCACTTCAAAACTCCTAGGCATTCTCTTCCAATCCTTTCCTCCTTTGTCTTACAACTACCTAGAACCTAGATGCTCATCCTGTGCCCTCCAACACTGCCCCTCCTGTATTTAACCTCATTCACTTCTCCATCCTACCCTCCGATCCCTCTTGAAACCACCCCCCACAACACACACACAAAAAACAGAGTAAAATCACTCCACTAAGTGGAAAATCATGGCATACAAGTTCCTGGTATATACTGCATCATATTATATTTCTGTAGACCTTCCTCATATGGTTATAGATATCAGGCTAATAGTTACCACAGTTTGTCAGTAGCCAGGCTGTACTTGAGTCTGCTGTTATTGTCAACTAAAGTATTTTAACCAGGATGTCATACAGGCTTATAACCAGTTTTTCCCCCCTGTATGAAAACCCTGCGATTGTAAGGGGTCATAACCATCACCATAGCCCAGTACCAAAGGAATGGGCCCAAAGGCAAACTGATAGCAACTCCTCAGACTTAATACATTGGGAAGGTAGGTTCTTGAGACAGACATAAAGACTAAGAGTTACCTACATCTAGAAGACATATGGAGGAACAGACATCTCCTAAAAAAGCTTCGACACCAGTGGTAAGGCTATCAAACATAAGAAATCTACAAGCATCAACACAGAAAACAAAGAAAAAAACAGAAAATGACAAGATGAAGAAGCAATATGCAATTCTAAATGCACAGCCCACCCAGGACAAGTCCAGAGAACAGAGATAGCCAATAAATGGAATTATCTGAAATGATAGCAGAAGTGAAAAAACAAATAGAAGAGGCCGTAGAAAAAATAATCTCTAAGGTGCAAAAAGACTATCAAAATAAAAGACCTTAAAGCAGACACAGATAAACAGAGGTGCTCAGGAAAACAATGGATACCATGAATGCCAAACACAGAGAAGAAATGGAATCAGTGAAACAGATCCAAATAGAAATGCAGGAGATGAGAAATCCCATTGAAAGTATATGCAGCAGATTGAATGAAGGTGAAGAGAGAATATCAGATTTAGAAGACAGGGACAGGGACAGGAACAGGAACAGGACTAGTGACCAG